TCACGGTCTCTCCTGCCCGGGCTGGCTTTGAACCGCAATCCTCAGATCTCAGCCTCCTGAGTAGCTAGGATTACAGGCATGAGCCACCAGCGCCCGGCAATCTCAGGCTTCTGAGTAGCAAGGATTACAGGCATAAACTGCTGGACCTGGCCAGGAAATTGTCTTTCAACAAACATTCACATAAACTAGGGCTCTATAAGCTAAATCCATCGATGGACAATAGTGTGACACAACTCCTGAATCCCTGTATACCTTCCCTACAAACAACAGCTGGGCATCTGTGAACTCTATGTCTGTAGCTATCTGCTAGAAAATTCTGCAGCCTCTTTGGGGGAGGCCCCAGAAATGATCCTAAGCAAAAGCCAAGATGCTAGCCATATGTCAGCCAGGGTGTATATACCAGTATCCCCAAACCTTGGATGGTGCGTGTCCCCACATCTCTGGGTGAGCTCTTACCTCAGGGACTGTGCCTGGCCCCGCCTGCCTTGCATCTCGGGGGTGGCGGGGGCGCTGGTGCGGCCCTGTCGCTGGCCAGGAACGCTGCGGATGGGGACCATGTGGTAGGGGACGGGTTCTAGCAGCCACAGGCTGGAGGTGAGGGCCCCGTCCTGCGGCGTAGTGGCTGGGCTACTGAGAAAGGACAATTGGGAGAGCAGTCAGCGACGAGAACATCTCCAGCAAGGAGCTCAAGAACTCCACAAGCATAGGGACCCAGCAGCCCAAGGTCAGGGGTGTGAACTGCCACCACTCACACTCCTGCCATCACACAGCTCAGGAGAGAGTGCTCTCCGGCCCCCTTTCCTCTTCCGTCTGCCCAGCCCGAGCGTGCGTGCGCATCCCTGCCAGGTCTGCCTTCCCTCTACCCTGACCTAGACTCGCTGCTGGGCTCCAAAGATTTCCTGGACTTCTCATAGGGATGGTCGAGGCTGGTCTCCTTCCAAGGGCTGTTCTGGATGGGGGCCCGCTCCAGGCCCCCCGGCTCAGGCCCTGCTGGCTGCAGCCCCTCGAGACTCTGGGGAGGGAGAGGCCGGGAAGGTAGGGCCGGGGACTCTGGGGGAGGTTTTGGCATGTGTGAGTCCTCTGCAGGAATAAAAGAAACCGGGTAAGGGCAGAGGCCGGGAAAACCAGCCCAGCAAGAACCTTCTGGCTCTCCCTCTCATGTCTGGCTTGTCCAGCTGCTCTGGGCATGGCTCTGACCCCAGATACTCACACTTTGTTTTCTTCTCCTCTGGGCCTCCCTCTTTCCCACAGCCCTATCTGCACCTCAAGTAGCCTCCTGGCTCTCGCTAATCCCATTTGTCAACAGTGGCTCCTGGTGCTGGAGGCATTGGAGGCAGCCACAGGCTGAAGGCTGGCCTTGTGTTAACCCATTTTTCTTGTTCCTGCCTTGCCCAAGTGCCCTATTTCCTTATTGGCCTGGGCACTCCCTTGGCCTGACTGCACCACCCTCTCCTTCCACCTTGCCTCTGACATCCTGGGCAGAGGTAAGCAGGGTTCTTAGTCCTTTGACAAGGGTTTTGTCCCCTGGGTTCCAAGGATGGCGGGGTGATCAATTCTTGGCCCTGACTAGTTCCTTCTGGGAAGGCAGCCCCAGGGTGAAGGAGCGGCCTTGGGGATTAACAGATTAGGAATTCCCCTTTCCCTTCTTCCAGTCAAATTTCTAGGGAGGTGGTAACTCCCTCCCTCCCCCATCCGAGCATGTGCAGGGTACCTGAATGACATCACGGCTGAGGGAGACCCTGGCTGACACCCTGCCCTCACCAGCTCACTAAACCTTCCACTCCCCACTGAGATCCCCACAGTACATTCTGGCAAAGCCCTACAGTCTTGGGGGTAGGACCCCCCAGCCTTGGCCGTGTCTTCAAATCGTGCCCTCACCTTCTTCCAGGAGGAGCCCATCAGACAGGGAGCTATCATCTGAAGCGCTGAGCTCTGGGAAAAGCAAAGGGGAGAGAAGAGAAGGAAGTGAGGAAATCAACCTGTGTGTACAGGATCCTGGCCCAAACCCTCTCCCAGGGCCGCCTCCACTGCCAGGAAATCCCTACTGGGTGCTGAACGATGTGTGGTGAATTTATGGAAGAAAAAGATTCAGAAGTGAGGGGTTAGGAGACAGGAAATCTGATTTTAATCCTGGCTCTCTCATTGGCCACACAACCTTGAATTAGCCATTTCAAAGCTCCGACCTGTTTCCGCATCTGTCAACAAAAGCCATTCTGGAAGGCCCTTAGTGTGAAAAGAATTTTGGCAATCTTCCCTCTACCACCACCACCTCCTTCCCCTCCTCTTCCTCCCCCCTCCTCCCTTGTGATTGAACTTAGGGCTTCACACTGGCTAGGCAGATGCTCCATCCCTTGAGCCCCACCTCCCAGCCCTTTTTGCTTTGGTTATTTTTGAGATGCTCTCTGCCTCTCAGAAGCAGAGGGGAGGGGTACATACCACCACACTGCTGGAGATTCACACCTGAACTACAGGCCTTTATGGCACAGCCTCTCAAAGCATCTCCCCCAGTGTTGGATAATGAAGATAAACAATGGCTAATATGTCTACTGTGCCAATATGTGTATTTCTTGTAATAATTCATAATGTAAGGAAGATCATATCCAGGGAACATCTGGGAAAAACTCTCAGAGGACTCATGAAGTTTGGGTCAATTAGTCAACCCAGTCGCCTTAGGTGCCTGAGTCAGAATTTACACCTAGATGGTTCGGCTTGTCTATGCCCTGAGCCACAACCTCTTACTGGCTCTATTGTTACTAGCACCTGCTACGTAGGTCATGACCAGAAGTTTTAAGAACAGTATATGATGCTTCTAACCGTCGGAGATCCTTTAGGATAGGAGTTGGTGAACTACAACTGTATCTAATTCACTGGTTGTGTTTACCAGTATGCTTTATTGGAATACAGCTACAGATTCCTTTACCTGATGTCTGGCCGTAGTCATCACTGAAACGGCAGTTGGATGGGTGGTTGGGAGAGATGAGGGAGAATTGTGAAAGGAGCAATACTGATCAAGATGCAGTGTTCTCATAAACCAACATGTGTAGTAATGCATTTGTACAACTATGTAACGATAACAAATATATAATTTTTTAAAAGAGAGCCCACCAAGCCTAAAATGCTATCTAACCTTTTGTAGAAAAGAATTATCCAATCTTCAATGCGTAACTAAAATGAAATACAAACGTTACTCAGAGCAGTTCTTAAACTCTGTCAGGTTCAGTGAAGGAGGTACCCTTTGCTCTCTGCCTGGAGAACAAAGGTTTTTATTGTCCCCAATGGCAAGTTGAACTACTTTACGGAATTGTTACCTTCTGCAGCAGGCTTAACAGTGCAACCCAGGTTTCAGTTACCCACTTAGCTCTAGCCTAGGTTTGCAGGGCTGGACCTCCTGGGAGACAGAAATGTCACACCCATTTCCTTCAGGTGACATCACCAACTGAAGAACTTTCCTCAAGGCTGGCTGGCCAGACTCTAATGTTTTGTTTTTTTTTTGGTCGGTCGTAGAGCCTGAACTCTGGGCCTGGGCGCTGTCCCTCAGCTCTTCAGCTCAAGGTGAGCACTCTACCACTTGAACCATAGCACCACTTCTGGCTTTTTCTGCTTATGTGATGCAGAGGAATTGAACCCAGGGCGTGATGCATGCAAGGCAAACACTCTACCACTGAGCCACCTTCCCAGCCCCGCATGTTTTGATTACACACAAGATCCAGGATCTTCTGTCTGCCCAGAAAACAACCGTCCCCCATCAGCCCTAACCTGCACATAATCAAGATGATTTTTGTAGGTCCCAAGCTCTATATTGCAAACAAGGGAGAATGGAGACACATTGCCTCTGCAGAGGCGGGAGCTGCCAGGCCCAAGTGGCTCATGCACACTGTCGTTGCCCTGTCCCAGCCTGGCTCACCACAATTGTCCTACCCCTGTCCTCAGGGTGCCCCCTCGGGACTGCAGCACAGGACTGCCCCCGGGGAGAGAGAACTGCAAAAAGACTGGACTCGGGAGCTCAGCATTTCCAAAGCGACCCTGCCCAACAAACCAATCTGCATGGCGCTGTGTTCATGAAAACTTAAGCACAATCAATGTTCATTACAACCGTGCCTACAGGGGCTGAGGAACGGAAATTGTCGTTCGTGTGTGTGTGTGTGTGTGTATGTGTGTGTGTGTGTTGGTACTAGGGCTTGAACTCAGGACCTGGGTGCTGTCCTTTAGCTTTTTCACTCATTCTATCACTTGAGCCACAACTTCACTTCTGACTTTTTGGTGGTAACTGGAGATGAGAAATCTCATGGACTTTCCTGCTTGGGCTGGCTTTGAGCCTTGATCCTCAGATCTTAGCCTTCTAAGTAACTAGGATTATAGGTGTGCATACACCAGCTCCGGGCGTGGAACTGAACTTGTACTTAGAGTCTACCGTATTGGAGAGCAAAGATGGGCAGCACTTCCACCGTCTCAGAAATTCACTGGGAGAGTTACTCAATCAGCCAGCAAACACACAGCGGGCACCTGTTACATTAACAAAGAGGTGTGTGCTGAGTGGAGGTGGCTCTCATGAAGCTCCCTATAATAAATTAGTTCAACACCTGATGGCTCTTTGCCACCTGCATAATTACTCTCACCTGGCCTAATTACTTAACCAACCTGAATAACCCTTGTGTGGAGAACAAGAAGGTGGAGGTGGAGTTTTGTTTTGAAATGCTTTTTTTTTTTTGCTTTGTTTGCTTATTTTTTTTTCCTTTTTAAATTCAAAACACCTTTCCTCCTCTAGCTAATTATTAAGCCTTCTCCACTTCTTCCTTCTAGGTGCGTCTAGCTGGGCAGAGGAGCCACAAAACAGGAATTACTTGTCTGGAACTTCTAGCTCTGAGCTCCCAAGCCAGGGCATTTGAACCCAGGACCCAGAAGAGAACAGGGCCAGAAGCTAGCAATCAGGGAGCCAGGTAAGCCAGCAACCGGTGTGAGCCTCAGACCTGCATGTAGCTGTCTGTTTTCTCCTGGGCTGAGCCCCTCCAAGAACCTCAGCCTCCTGCCTTCCCTCACTGGGTTAAACCAGAGTCCCAGGCGTGTCCTGGCCTGCAGCCCCATTCCGAACAAAGAATGTCATTGATCACAATGGTGGCAGCAGAGTGACATCCCCTCACCAGCCTGTCGGGGCAGAAGCTCTCAGCAACACAGCAGCCAAGGGCAAGAAGAGCTGCTGACAGTGTAGCTGGGGGGCTGGCAGGGGGAGAACAGGAGGGTCTGTGACCACCTGGGATGGCTTCCTCCAAGCACGGGGCAAGCTGGCCGCTGGGTCAGCCGCGGCCTTCCAAGGGAAGGGCCCTTGCTGAGGGTCTGTGGGGAATGGAGGAGGGGTGAGACACCTTTTCCCTTCAGGCTAGAGCCAATGGCCACCTGGCCCTGGGGCAGCCCAGTGACTTTTCTGCCATCTACTCCTGACTGCTTCTTGGTTGGCCTAGCTGGGTCTGGTCACACACTCCTTACGCAAATACAGAGCGCACAGATGAGAGCAGGCGCTGGGGAAACCGCCTGCCTAGGGGACATGGACAGGAGGACAAGAGGAGCCGCCGGCAGCGAGGCAGGAAGCCGAGCTCACAGGCCACAGGGCAGCCCTGTTCTCCAAGCTGAGCCCTGTTCTCCAAGCTGAGCCCTGTTCTCCAGGCTCCATACAGCCAGGGACCCAGGAGAGACTTAGAGCAAGGCTGAGCTCCAGGCTCAGGGTGGTGGGCACTGGAATGGAGGAATGAAGGCCGCAAGTCTTAACCTAAGCTGGATTTGGGTGGAGGCAAAGAAAGACACTGGGTACTGGTGGCTCATGCCTGTAATCATAGCTCCTCAGGAGGCTGAGATCTGAGGATCATGGTTCAAAGTCAGCCTTGGCAGAAAAGTTTTTGAGATTCTTATCTCCAATTAACCAAGAAAAAGTCAGAAGTGGAGATGGGGTCCAAGTGGTTCAGCACTAGCCTTGAGCTAAAAAGCTAAGGGAGAACACCAAGCCCTGAGTACCACCACCACACACACAAACAAACCCAATCTAGTTCAGGCCTCAAAATCACCTGCTAGTAGATGCAACCCAGCCTAGACACACTGAAGTCAGGTGGTGACTTCTGACACTGCCAATGTACTCACTGCCACAAAGCCACAGGTCTCCTGAGCAGGGCCACAAGTACCATAAAGTAGAGCACAGAGGAAGGAAGATCACCCGACCTGGGCACACGCAGGTGCAGAAGGGATTATGATGGTAGCGCCAATCAATGAGGCTAGACTCCATCTAGCAAGCTCCACAGGGAGTCGGTGATCAGCTGCACACAGCGAGGATGGGTGCCTGTGCCCGCCAGGGGAAGCATGCTACCTCATGGAGTCCTACCCTGACCAGAGAGGCCTGTGGGCCTGAGGCACCTCAGCCAAATCAACCCCAGGATTAAGCTTAGAGTCAGCCTAGGACATGCCTTCTGCGGGGGGGGGGGGGGGGGGGGGGGGAGTGTGTGTGTGTGTGTATTAAGGCTTGAACTCAGGGCCAGAGCTCTATCCCTTAGCTTTTTTATTCAAGGTTGGCACTCTACCACTTGAGCTACACCTCCAGTTCTGGCTTTTTTGTTGTTGTTGGTCATGGGGCCTGAACTCTGGGCCTGGGTGCTGTCCCTGCGCTCTTCAGCTCAAGGCTAGCGCTCTACCACTTGAGCCACAGTGCCCCTCCGGTTTTCTGAGTGGTTTATTGCAGATAAGAGTCTCACAAACTTTCCTGCCCCGGCTGGCTTTGAACCACTATCCTCAGCTCTCAGCCTCCTCAGTAGCTAGGATGACAGGTGTGAGCCACCAGTGCCCTGACTTTTTGAAGGTGAGTGAAGGAGGAGGAAGAGGGGTGTCTAAGGCGAGGAGAAGATGGTATCCCACGAAGGAAGAGTCATACCAGCCCCGCAGAGGGCAAGCAGGGAGTCCAGGGGGCCCCAAGAAGCCAGCTGTGGCCAGCTGGAGTGGATAGGAAGCCTCAGACAGAGTGGCAGGCGCGCAGGTGGTGCTAACCAGGTGCCGATGCGCGGATGCCACCTGCACACCAGCCGCGGCCGGTCCCCGCACGAACGCTCGCTCACCTCGGCCCAGCGTGGTGGGCGGGGGCTCACTGCTGCGCCTGCGCTCTCCCAGGCAGCGCTGCAGCTCGCGCAGCTTCTTCTCCTCCTGCAGCGCCGCGTGCTTGCGCTGCCGCCGCGCCTGGCGGCTGAGGTTGTCCTCGGAGCTCAGCCTCCGCGCCGCCTCGGTGATCTGCAGCTGCAGGGCCAGCTGGCGCTCCAGGCCGCTCTGGGGGTCCTAGGGGAAGGGGGTGGGCATGTGATGGGAGGCCGGGGCACAGCAGCAGCAGTTCGGACCCCCCCCCCGCACCTGCAGGGGGGCGCAGAGGGCGGGGCACTGGGAGGGGTCCAGAGCCCATTGGGCCCCATGAGAAGCTATCAGGCACCCTGAGCCCTCCCCTGAGCTGCCTGCCGAGCCGGGCTGGGAGGAGCCCGTGAGGGACACTTTCCCCGGTCCTCAGAGGGTCAGGCAGGCCGGTCTATGCTCATCTGGGGGCCAGCCAAGCCGGGCTGAGAGGCAGGGCAGCCCTGGGGTCCGAGTGACCTACCTGGACAGACAGGCAACTGCCTACCAGCTGGACTACCCAAGGGGGTGCCCTCGACCACCACAGGGCTGACCCCCACCCCATGGCCCCTGGGGACCGAGGGACCGGTCGAAGCTCCTCACCTCCCGGCGCAAGGCCCACTCATCCAGCCTGTAAGCGGCTCCGATCCTGCGGCGCACCTTGGGGGGCTTTTCTCCCGGCTTGAGGGGGTACTCTTCCGGCAAGGTGCCCGTCAGCTCCTGCGGAGGAGGGGGGCAGAGAGGGGGGCCAACACGAGCCCCTCATCACTTACCTAGCCCTTGGCCAACCCTGGGAAGTTCATCTAGTGACCCCCAAATCGCATGTGCTGGGGACGGCTGAGCCACCAGTGCCCCTGCCACATCCTTCATACCTCGCCTGGCCATCCAAATCTTGGGGCACCCTGTGTACACGCCCTCCCGTCTGCAGCCCTCGGGCCCGTTCTTCTCCGTGCCCCCCACTCACTCCCCTCCCCCCAGGGCCCAGGCTGGACACTGCATCAGAGGGGCTCTGCATCAGACCTCAGTCTGATTTTCCAGAACCATTCAAGACTAAGGCTACCGGGCACCCAAGCACACACACTGGGCTCTGACACCCCCAGATCCAGCTCCCCGGAGAGTAGCCCCATTGGGGGCCCCGCCCAGTCCTCACCGCCTCTCGCAGGCAGAGCCTCCGCAGCTCCTCCAGGCAGGCCTCCAGCCGCGCCTCCAGGGCCCTCTGCTGCTTGCGCACCGCGTGGGTTAGCTCCTTGGTCTGGGACACGGGGCTGTCCGGGCCTGTGCGAGGGGAAAGGGCCCCGCTCAGGGACACTGAGGTAGGCGGTTCTCTTACATGCTTTGTTGACCACTCCTTGCTAAGTCTTTAATGCCTGCCCACAAATTACAAGCTAGCTGCCGCGGCCTGTGTCATAACCACAAAACACAGTCTCCCGGCTGCGCAGGGCGCTGCATCACAGCTCAAAGGCAGGCTCCCCCACCAGGGGACCTGCGACCGGCGACAGGCTCCACCGTCACAACTGCTGGGTCTCTTCCCTCCCCTCCCTTACCCCCTTTTCTTCCTCTTCCTTACACTTACACACACACACACACACACACACTCACACACCTACGCCTCTCCTATCCTGTCAAAACTAGGCCAGGGGCTGGGAAGGTGGCTCAGTGGTAGAGTGCTTGCCTAGCATGTGTGAAGCCCTGGGTTCAATTCCTTAGTACCACATACACAGAAAAAGCAGGAAGTGGCATTGTGGCTCAAGTGGTAGAGTGCCAGCCTTGAACAAAAGAAGCTTAGGGACAGTGCCCAGGCCCTGAGTTCAAGCCCCAGGACTGGCAAAGAAAAAAAAATCTAGGCCAGACTAGACCCCAAGGCTCGTCTCCAGGGAGAGCACTTTGCTGCATCCCTGCTATCCTCCCCCTTCCCCAGAGTGCTCTCTCCCCTCCCTTCCAGCCTGAAGAGTCTCAGCCTGGCAGGCCTGGGGCCTGGGGACTCATGCAGGAGTCAGGGCTGGGGCTAGGGGTTTTCCAGACCCACTCACCAGACTGCAGGATGATGCCACTGTCCGTGTCGCTGACCTCATCCTTAGTCTCCATGGTGGATTTCTGGGAGGAGGGGGCACAGAGGCAGGAGGGGCAGCACGGGTCCCAGCAGGGGCCAGGATGTGAAGAGGGCCTGCTGTTCCACCAGCTTTAAGAAGAATAGAGAACAATAACCAAAGAGCTCCAAGCAAACCCCACAGATCCCACACGCGGCTGAGAGACAGGCTTGGGGATGGAAGTGTGCACACAGGCTGTGTGCAATGAGGGGCTGCCAAGGGGCGGGGCAAGCCTCGCTCTAGGCGGCCTCCAGAGTAAGGCCTCTAGGAGAGAGGTGGGACTGTGGCGGCAGAGTCACTGAGAGGAAAGAATAAGGACCAAGGGAGGGACAAGGAAGGGGAGTGGGGACAAAGTGGGGAGGAGAGGAATGAGGGGGAGATGTCCTCACAGAGTGCGGGGAGCAAAGCCACATCCCTAGTCCTGGGTACTCAGGAGGCTGAGGTCGGAGGATCGAGGGGAAAGTCCTATCTCCAATTAACCACTAAAAAGCAGTAAGTGGAGGTTTGGTTCAGGCACCAGCCTTGAGTGAAAAAGCCAGGTAAGAACAAGAGGTCCTGAGTTCAAGCCTCAGTACCAGCACAAGGAGGGAGAGGGAGGAGAGGAGGAGGAGGAGGAGAAGGAGAGGAGAGGAGAGAAGCGGAGGAGGAGGAAGAAGAGGGAGGAGGGGGGAGGGAAGGGAAGAAAAGGGAAGGGGGAGAAGGAAGCAGAAGTTGTTGGGGTTGGTGGGCTCGCCGGGGTCCAAGGCTGGTCTAGGATGCCCAAGGCTCGGGGCACTTGGCTCCCTGAAGCCACTCCACGCCAGAGACTTATCCCAAAGCCAGAGCCCTGGAATGTCTTCCTTGCTAGCTCAGAGAGAATCAGCTGGATCCCTTAAACCCCACAGCCCAGGAGGATGGGGGGGTGGGCAGGGCGACCGTCAAGACTGTGGAGGTTGGAGGTGAAGACAGGGATGAAGCAGAAACTGCCAGGGTCGGAGGGCCCGCCCCTCCTCTGCCTCCCTTGGGTCTTCTGGGCAGCACTCGGTGGTGTGGGCACCATCCCAGCTGTGCGCCTGCCCAGCCAAACAACACCTGTGCCCGCCTCTTCCCTCCTCACCAAACCCACACCCCTGGTTGGGGTCCCAGCTGGCCAGGGCTGGCAGCTGCAGCCTGGAGCCCCAGGAGGGAGGGAGGGAGGGAGGCAGGAGGGTGGAATCCAGGCGGCCACCTCCTCACTGAGTCAGCCCATTGAGCAAGAGTCCAAAAGTCCTTCTGAGTTTCTGTCTGGGACTTATCCTACTGCCCCCCCCTCCCCCAGCTCAGGGCCCAGGCTGGGGAGATGGGCTCCATCCCTGTGCGGAACCTGGGAAAGCAAAGCCAGGAGGAGGCGAAGAGATACAGTCTTCACCTCCACCGCAGCGGAGAGATTTCACAGCGCCCAGGTGGCAGCTGATCAAGGAAACGGGGCAGCAACCATCACACCCACAGCCCTGGAACCTGCCTGGACTTTGCACTTCTGAATCTCAGATTCGCCAAGGAATTGTAGGAAATGCACAGCACATTAGTTTAAAAAAAAAAAAGTACCTGTCGAGTCTTTATAAGCATATCAGAAGACAAATTGGCCACTGAGTCTGGAAGCCCCAGGGAAGTTGGGGTGACTGTTGGTCCCAGTCTCATCCTTGTCAGGGTAGGGGAGCAGGCAGCTCAACCTTCCTCCCACTGTCCCCAGAAACTAGGGGCTCAGCCTGTGGCAAGAAGCCAACACCCTACCCAGGCAGGGTCCCCGCAGGTACACGGAGCCTCTCTCTTCAGACAAAGGAAGGAGGTGGTGTGGGAGGGGAGGCCATTAATTAGTCCCACTTGCTAATTAATTATTAACCACTAAGGAGTTGCTTTTGAAAGGTGGGGGAACTCAGACTAGCTCGGGGACTCCTAGAGGATGGCAGCTAAGTTGGACCAAGAGGGAGGCGCTGCCATTCACGGGGCTCTCGGTCCACTCAGTCCACTCTGCACCTTGCTGCTCGCACCTGGAACCTGCTATTCCAGGCTGGTCAAAGAGCAGAGACTCAAGGTTACTGCCGGGATCCCCTAGGGGAAGTCTCCCGGCCTCCGGATCCTCCATTTTCCAGATGCACAGCAGAGATTAAAGTGGGCCTGCAGCCCCTCCCAGCTCCTCGGTGTGATTCTGAGCCATGCCCTGCTGAGAGACCCTCCCCCACAGCCAAAGCAGACCCCTCTCCCCCTCCAGAAGATGGGCATCTGCCCCACCCCCCTCCGGAGGGCGGGGGTGCTAGGTGCGGGAAGTTAAAGGAAGTTCAGGTGACACCCGGCATCCGGCCCAACTCCGGAGTCCCAGCCCTGAGCCCCAAGAAGCACCCCACCATAACCCCACAGTGTCCCCAGGAAAAGGCAGAGGAGGAAAGAGACCAAGTGGACACCCCGTTGCAAAGGGGCTCCCCCCTCCCTCAAAACCAGCTTCTCCCCAGTCCCAGCTCATCATCTCCACTAACCTTTTCTCTACCAGATTGAGACCTGACCACAGGGACAAGCTCCTGGTCCCAACCCAGCACCCCCGCACCCCCCCGCCACTGCCCAAACTCCCCGCCAGAGGGGCAGGCCGGCCTGCCACCCTGTCCGGCCCTCACCTGTGTCTGGGCTTCCCTCCAGCGCCCCACTGCTTTGGGGTCAAGAAGGGGAAGGGCCGCTCATGTGGCCCCAGGGGCTCTCAAGCTTCTGGCCGGCCACCTTGTGTTCGGCGCTCTGAGCCCGCTCCAGCTCGGTGCGGGCTGCTGGCCACCCCTCTGGCCAGCCCTCCCATCCCTCCCGCCCCGCCCGCCCGCCTGCAGTCCCTCCCAGGCTGCCGGGCCAGGGGAACCAGGTTACTTGTTATGACTTGAGTCAGAGGGGAGGGGCAGGTGAGCAAGTCCTTCCCAGAACGAATCCTGCAGCTTGGCTGTGACCGCCAGGCAGCTCTGGGGCCTCGGCGCTTCCCGGGCCTGAGGGAGCCCGGGGAAGGGGCTCCTCAAGAAGGAATGCCAGGAGGCCAAGGGGTCAGGCCTTGAGGGCCCCTGGTGCCACGTGCTGCTTGCAAGGGACCTCAAAGTCTTCCTGCATTGCTGGGCTCTGTGTGCCTTCCTGTTTGCTGCTCTCCCTCCCAGAAATTGAGGAAGAGGAGGCATCCCCAAATAGAAAGCTTACTGTTAGAGAAGGTCACTGGGGCCCACCCCACCCCAGAGAGAAACTGAGGCCACCTGAGTTTGGTGGGTCACAGTTCAGGGTTTTTAAGAACCTCAGGTTGAGGCAGGGGGCAGTGGCACACCTCTGTAGTCCCAGTGACTCACACGGGAGGCCAGGAGTTCAGGACCAGCCAGGGCAACAAAAGATGCTGTCTATAGAAACAGACAAGAAAGAAAGAAGGAAAAAGAAAAACAGAGAGAGAAAGAAAAAGAAAAGAGAGGGAAGGAGGGAGGGAAGAGGAAGGAAGGAGGGAAGAAAAGAAGAAAAAGAAGTTGCCATCCACCACCAGGAAAATTGTCCCCCCCACACACACGCGCGCACACACACGCACGCACGCGCACACACACACACACGCACGCGCGCACACACACACACACAAAGAAGCCTCTAGGCCAACCTCCCATGACCCTAAAGCACTGGGAAACCTGTTTGGAACCTAGCCAGTTACACCGGAGGAAACAGAGCTAAGGGTGGCTGGACTACAGACGCCCAGGCTGGACGACAGACATGTGGAGATGGTGCGGACTAAGGTGGTACCCTCAGTGTTCATCTCACCCCCCATCTCCCACCACGCCATCTACCCCCTCCCCCTAAAACTCCCTTTCCCAGCGAGCCACCAGTGTCTCACACCTGGTGGTAGAGACCCTAAAGGATCATAATCCAAAGACAGCCCAGACAGAAAAGCCCATGAGATTCCACCTCCCATGAACCAGCAAACAGCTGGGCTGGAGGTGTGGCTCAAGCGGCAGAGCGCCAGCCGAGAGCAAGAAAGCCAAGCAAGCATCTTCCCAAGTCTCACGCAGGGATGGCAAGGGGGTGTGCCCTCATCAAACATCTGAGGGTCACAGTCTGCCACCTCCCCCTTGCCAGCACCCCCAATCCTCCGACATACACAAACACACACACCTTCACCTTCCTCTACACACCCCCTTTCCAAAGAATGTTAGCCCCAGACTCCGGACCATCTCCTCCTGCCCCCAGGCGAGGGAGAGGGGCCTTCACCGGGGACAGTCTGTCCCCACGATGGGAGCATGCTCTGTGGGCCTCCAAGCCCTTCCCTTCCCCCTACCCTCCACCTCACAGCAAGACCTTCCCATCCCCCGACAGGTTTGCTTTCTTCCAAGTCAAACAGAAAGAAGTTGACTCCGCAAGCAAGCAGCCTTTGCCCATCCCCCAGCTGCAACCTGGGAAGGCTGAGGAAGCTTCTAGAATCAACTCGTGGCTGGGCACTATCGTCTTAATGCATTAAATAAAGTCACTAAGAGAGCTCATCATATTGGAATCAAATCCTAACGTCAGAACATCTATAACAGTTTATTTGCACGGCAGAGGCCCCGGCAGCGCGCCACTTCCTGGGAGCAGACACACCATGTCCACAGAGCTGCAGCAATGGCTATGGGGTTGGGAACTGAACTCTGCTCACGGGAAAGCACAGGCTCGGTCCATGCCTCTGTTTTCGGGTCTTCCTAACCTAAGCCGTGATAAAAATAATGATGAAGTTGTAGATGCCCGCCCCACACTACATTTATAACCCGCCACATTCTAGCCACAGATACCTAGGTTGCAGTGAACCCAGTTAAGAACTCTCCCCTTGGGATCCCGCCCCCCCACACCATCTGCATCCAGAGGAAGAGACATGAAATGGACTTAAAGCTTGTACACTCCGGGACATAAATTCCTGAAGCTGCCCTCTAGATCTTTCGCTAATGGTTCTGCTGTTTGGAACCAGCTTTTCAAGAATGGATGCTGGCAGACGCCAGAGCTTGGTCAGTGATGTCACAAGCGCGGGATCCCCCAAGCACAGAACTGTCCCCCAAAGACACACGCCACCTGTAACCAGGCAGCAAAGCCCAGCCAAGCGGGGTCTCCTGCCTCCTCCCTATAATTCTCCCCTGCAACTGAGCAGAGGCAAACTGGCGCATTCATCCCGCTGGCTAGCTCCTGGCCTCCTTCAGGTTGAGCCTGGTAACAAAGCTCTTGCTTTCTTTTTCTGCAGAAGCCCAGTGCATTGGCTTCTATGAACATCAGCATCCGGATTTACACCTGTAATCCTAGCTACTCAGGAGGGTGAGTCCTGAATGAAGATTGCAGTTCAAAGCCAGCCTGGGCAGTAAAAGTCCAAGAGACTCTTGATCTCCAATGAACTATTAAAAAGTCTGAAACAGAGCTGTGTCTCATGTGGCACAACATTTGTCTCTAGTAAAATGCTCAGGGATAGCACCCAGGCCCTGAGTTAAAGTCCTAGGACCAGCACATGCGTGCAAACACACACACGCGCACACACACACACACACACACACACACACGAACAACCTGTTCACACTGATCCTTGGGAATTTTTCTGTAAGACTCTTTACAAACTCACACCCAGCATTTCCCAGGGCATGTGGAACGGAGCTGCAGAATGAAGTCTCCCTCCATGAAAGGTGTTGTGTGTATGGTGTGTGTGTTGGGGGGGGGGTGTCCCAGTTGGATCTGATTGGAGGTGGGGGGTCCCAGTTGGATCTGATTGTTCAGGCTCACAACTCCAAACACCCAGAAGGCATGAGCTTGCACAACTCCAGAGTGCCAGTCTGGAATCTGGGACTCCGCCCGAGCCTAGGAACCTGGGAACTCCACAGCATTCCTGCCCCCCCAACCCAGACCCCCACCACCAAGCCCCCGCTCCAACCCCCCAAATTACAGCAAATACCCTGGTCAGCGAGTTCATTTCCGAAGGCAGGCAGCGACCCGAAACAGAAAACTCTTCCACGGGCCAGTCAACTCCACGCTCCCCTCAAGGTCCTCCTTAAGGTTATCCTGACATGCCTAAAAGCCCAAGTGGTCCGGACCCAGCCTCGGCCCTGCCTGCCGGGCCTGCCCCCCCAAGAGTACCCGCAAAGACACCCCCGGCGTTACTGAACGGAGGAGCGAATGCGCGGTGGCAGCTGAAGTAGCCGTGGAACAGGACGGAGGGAGTCAGCAGCCGGGGACCCTTAAAGGCCAGAGGGCTGGGGGGGGCGCGCCCCATAACCGTTCTTCCTGCCCTGTCCTCCCTGCCCCGGGGGAAGGTGCCCCGCCAGCCCCGGTGAGGTGCGCTGGGACGGGGGGGGGGTCTCCAGCGAACCCTGCGATCAGACCCCAGGGCTTTGGGTAGAAAGCCCCCTTTGTCCGGTCCACCCGCTCCCCTCCCCCACGGCGCCCTCCACTCCCCGGCGGGTCGAAGACTTTTGCTCCTTTTGTTTGGCTGTTTCCAGGCTCCCCGGAACCTGGCCAGGCGCTCGGCAGGCGCGGGGACGCGTGCATGCGGGGGGGGG